AAACTACAAACCCCAGAATTCCATTGCATAAAATAAATCCGGCCAAGAAAAACCTAGGATGAGGTCACAGTCACCGTAAGCACATAACAAATTATCAGATCATAGAATCATAAAATCATAGAATTGGAAGAGACCACAAGGGCCATCCAATCCAACCCCCTGCCATGCAGGAACTCTCAATGAAAACATCCCCGACAGATGGCCATCCAGCCTCTGCTTAAAGACCTCCAGGGAAGGAGACTCCACTACTCTCTGAGGGAGTGTGTTCCACTGTCGAACAGCTCTTACCATCAAGAAGTTCCTCCTAATGTTGAGGTGGAATCTCTTTTCCTGGAGCTTGCAGCCGTTGCTCTGGGTCCTGTTCTCTGGAGCAGCAGAAAACAAGCTTAAATACTTAAACAGGGCTATCATATCACCTCTTAACTGCCTCTTCTGCAGGCTAAACATACCCAGATTAAACATAAGGCATGGTTTCCAGACCCTTCACCTTTTTGGTTGTCCTCCTCTGGATATGTTCTAATTTGTCAACATCATTTTTGAATTGTGTGCCCAAAACTGGACACAGTATTCCAGGTGAAGCCTGACCAAAGCAGAATAGAGTGACACTATTATTTCCCTTGATCTAGATACTATACTTCTATTGATGCAGCCTAAAATTGCATTGCCCTCTTAGCTGCGGCATCACACTGTTGACTCATGTTCAACTTGTGGTCTACTAGGACTCCCCGATCCCTTTCACGTATAGTCTCGTTAAGTGTCCCCCATCCTGTATCTGTGCCTTTCATTTTTCTGCCCTAAGTGCAGTACCTTTCATTTCTCCATGTTGAAATTCATTTAGTTAGCTTTGGCCCAGCTTCCTAACCTATTAAGGTCATCTTGAATTTTATCCTGTCCTCTGTGGTATTAGCTACTCCTCCTAATTTGGTGTCATCTGTAAATTTGATAAGTATGTCCCCTATTCCTTCATCCAAATCATTGATAAAGATGTTGGATAGCACTGGGCCCAGGACAGAACCCTGTGGCACTCCACTGGGCACTTTTCTCCAAGATGAAGAGGAGCCATTGCTGAGCACCCTTTGGATTCAGCCGGTCAACCAACTACAAATCCACCTAACAGTCACATTGTCTAGCCCACATTTTACCAGCTTGTCTGCAAGAATATTATGGGGGACCTTGTTAAAGGCCTTACTGAAATTGATCAGCTTTGCCATGGGAGATAAATATATGTACATATGACTTTTTTGATGCTTGTGATTCTGCCATTATCAATTTGTAGGGTTATACAGTTATAGTTGCTATCTTTTTCCTCCTTTAGTTAATAAATAAGTAGTGTGCTTTTTTTAGTGTTTTTGTTGTTTATTATCATGTTTTTAATAATGTAGATGTTTAATTCCCTTTTAACATTTGTAAATTAATGTTTTAGCTGGGCCTTTTAAAAATTATTGTATGCTGTCTTGGATCCCATTTAGGGAGAAAGGTGGGCTATAAGTGCAATAAATAATATTAAAATAAATGCTCTCTCTCTCTTTCTCTCTCTAAAATCGTTAATGGCAGCTTGTAAATAAACATGAACATAACAACAGGTGAGTCACAACAGCATTTTTGTCTTGTGCATCATATTTTCAAAGCAAGCTAGGTCAACTGTATTTAGAGATAAAGAGCCTGGAGGGTTTTGGAAGTTTTTTGGGGGGGAGCAATGGCATCCCACACTGCGGCATATGGGGGTAGGACTTGGGGGCAGAGACAAAAAAGGCCCCTCCCTCCCTATCCTGTGCAGCTTTACTTTAGACGTGTACTTTAGAAATGAACATACAATAACCAAAAGACCCATCCCAAAGTCCACCCTGCAAACCACGTTCCCCTCCCCAAATTTCCCAGGTTATCAGGTGGGGGGATCAATGGCAACATGTCCAACTATTCCCCTTTAGTTGGACACACTGCAAGGACATTATCTGCCGGGAATCCCAAGGCCCACCAGGGGTCCCTGCAGGTGCCTATTGCCTGTTGTTGAGCATCTAACCAAAGAAAAATAGCTGGATGTGTTGTTGCTGATCCCCTCCTCCTCTGACAACCTGAAAACAGCCATGTGGGTGGGGTAGGGTGGGGGATGTGTGGCTTACAAAAGATGTAAGCCGAGACATATCTACATGAGATGTACATCTCCCAATGCAGGAATTTGGCCTATATGTTACTGGGCCTATATAGCATGGTCAGGGGCCTGAGGATCATCTGTGGGGCTGCCATTTTCAGGCCATTGCCTTCCTTGGGCAGATGGTGACAGAATTAGCAACAGAGGGGGCAGATCCACAAGTAGCAATTGCTGTCTCTCATGTCAATGGCTGGTGATGAATCTGGTCTGGATTTTAGTCTGAATTTTAAAGGAACTATCCAAGATGCTGAACCTATTTCACCTATTGACATGGAAGCCTCTACTTGACTGTAGTATCTGCCCTTCACATCACATATGTCTACTAAACACTCTCTGCATGAAGCAGGCTACAAGTACTGGTTTATAACATTTAAAGCAGCCAAGAGCAGCACAAGACAGTACACTCAAACCAGGCTAAACTATAGCTGAAAAATCATTGTTACCCCCCCTCCCCTCAGAATCAGTGGACTGCAACAGAGTTGTGGCACCATTATATGAAGTATCTCATAAGACTGATTGGATGTTTTGATTACCTTCTGGGATACTTTCCATAATAGCAGCATTAATGGGCCATCTTTCACCTGCAGTTGATTAGGAGATATAAAATTGGGACCCAACATGTTATCATATTAATAATATGTTTGTAGGATTTCCAGAAGCTGTAAGTGAAATAATTATAAAGGTAAAGGTATTCCCCGTTGACAAAGTTGTTAAGTTGTGTCTGACTGTAGGGGGCAGTGCTTCATCTCTGTTACTTAGTTGAAGAGCCAGCGTTGTCAGAGACTACTCTGTGATCATGTGGCCAGCATGATTGCACAAAACGCTATTTACCTTCCCACTGAGAAGTGGTACCTATTTATCTACTTGCATTTGCATGCTTTCAAACTGCTAGATTGGCAGAAGCTGGGACTAGTGACAGGAGCTCACCACCATCCTACAGCACCTGGGCTTCGAACTGCCAACCTGCTGATCTTGCAGTCAACAGAGTTTGTCTCAGGATCTGAGCCACTTGAGCCACTGCATCCCTGAAATAATTATATGAGCCATTTAAAATAGGGACTGTCACAATATTCAAAATGGTGGCAGAAAAAAAACAGTGAGAACTGAAAGGAAGTGTGGACAGAAATAAACTCGGCCCCATTCCCTCAAAAAAAGAATTGCACACTCTTGGAAAACCCATTTCACTGAAATCAGACAGATACTGAATTTGATAATAAAACCATCCTAATGCTGCAGAAAGGGTCACACATAGTGCAAGCCACATATACTGAGCCATAACTCCAATTGTCACAATTCTCAAAATGAAAGCAATAAATTATATGATCTCTTCTCTCCTGGAAAAAAAAAATCAATGCTGTCACTTCCTCACCCTAGCCCCCAAGGGGATTCCCCCCCCCACTTTTTTCTTACCTCTAAGTCTTAAAATTTAAGTTATTGAAATAAAAAGATATAGAGGGAATATCTGAAAATTTGCAATGCAGTTGAGAGAAGTCATATTGTCACATTTAATTGTCCCTTTCCTATGGGATATAGCAATTATCTGGAGCATCTCCTGCAGACCTTCTGAGTCTCTGCCTCTTTTAACATTTTATTCACCTGGTTGCCATTTTTCCTGTGGGCACTGTTTGAGCAGCAGTGGATTATCCACCAATTGTTTCAAAGAGAGTCTGCCCTTGTTCTTCAAAAGTACAAGAAACTGGAATAGAATCCAAAGACATAAACATATTAGTCTAGAATATCAGTTTGCAAAGGGATCTTGTAGCACCTTTGAGACTCGCTGAGTGAAAAAAATTGTAACATAAGCTTTCACACACTTGGTCTACTTCATCAGATGCATAGAGTGAAATGGTGCTCAGGAAGGATCTTTATAATCAGACTGTGTGAATAGCCATGGAAATTCGAAGATATAGCTTTGTTAGTCTGTAGAATCAGTTGTAGAGAGATCTTGTAGCAACTTTGAGACTAACAGAAATTGGCAGCATGAGCTTTCGTCAACTTCAGTCTACTTCCTCAGACTTCAGTTTACTTCCTCCAAATCTGAGGAAGTAGACTGAAGTCTAAGAAAGCTCATGCTGCCAACTTCTTTCTGTTAGTCTCAAAGGTGCTACAAGGTCTCTCTGCACACCCATGGAAATGTAAAACTTGTGGGGATGGTGATGAGGTGACAACTTCAGTTTTAACTATGGGCATCGAGAGACAAAAGCAGGAGGAAAGATGTTGCCTAAGGCCAGGGTGGGGGAATGGCCATGTGAATGTTGGAGGGAGTTTTGGAATGTAGTGTGTGCAGGCTGGGAACCAGGAGGAAGATTTGATAAACTGGCCAAGAATATCCTCATAGAGTGGGGATGTTAACCTATGCTATAATACCATATTTTTTGCCATATAAGA